TCACTAATTATTAGAGAAATGCAAATCAAAACTACAATGAAGTATCACCTCACACCAGTTAGATGGCCATCATTAAAAAGTCCACGAACGAAACATGCTCGAGAGGGTGTAGAGAAAAGGGAGCCCTCCTACACTGTTGGTGGGAATGTAGTTTGATGCAGTCACTATGGAAAATACTATGGCAATTCCTCTAAAAACTAAAAATTGACTTACCATGTGATCTAGAAATCCTACTCCTGGGCATATATCCAGAGGGAACCTTAATTCAAAAAGACACACGCACCCCAGTGTTCAGAGCAGCACTTTTTACAATAGCTAAGACATGGAAGCAACCTAAATGTCCATCGACAGATGACTGGATAGAGAAGTTGTGGTATAGTTTTACAATAAAATACTGCTCAACCATAAAAAAGAATAAAATAATGCCATTTGCAGCAACATGGATGGCCCTGGAGAATGTCATTCTAAGTGAAGTAAGCCAGAAAGAGAAAGAAAAATACCAGAGGCTATCACTTATATGTGAAATCTAAAAAGATGACACAAATGAACTTATTTACAAAACAGAAACAGATTCACAGACAGAAAACAAACTTATGGTTACCAGGGGAAAAGGGAGGGGTGGAGGGATAAATTGGGAATTCAGAATTTGCAGATGCTAACTAATATAGATAAAACATATAAATAAAAAGGTTGTACTATATGGCACAAGGAACTATATTCAACAGGTTGTAATAGCCTGAAAAAGAATATGACAAGGAATATATATGCATATATATAACTGAATCTATCTATCTATCTATCTATCTATCTATCTATCTATCTATCTATATCTGAATCACCATGCTGCACACCAGAAAGGAACACTGTAAACCAACTATACTTCAATAAAAAATAAAATAATTTTTAAAATGCCATTATAAAAGTGATGAAAGTTATAGACCAATACCTTGAATGTGGGAATAATACTATTTTTTCTGTATATAATAATATCACTGGTAAGATCTTTTAATTTGCTTTGAATCCTGAAATCTAGGAAAAGAAAATTTCAATGATCATGTTTATGGTTGACTCCAGAACAAAGGGTGCAAGATGCCTCGCTCTCTGCTCTTGTATCAACCACATCACGGTGACCGCTTGATTTCTCTTTTCTAAAAGCGGGAAGGGGGGTGCAGTATTAGAAAATAAAACTTAAATATAAAATGAAAAGAATACTATAAAGAAAAACATATCCATTCATTGGTGAAAATGTGTAAGTTGCTTTCTTTTTCACTTACATTTTTCTCTGAGTATAAATCATAAATCCTGATTTTTTCCTACTGAGATATACATTTAATAGTAAGTATGTAGAATTGGGAAAATGTAGTATGAATTGACTATTATTTAATTTTAAAGTTTCAATTTAAAAAAGTTATGAATTGTTTAACCCATGATTCAGATCTTTCCCTCGCTCTGATATAATTTTGAACATATATTTTCCCTGTAATTTTTTAAAAATCAAGTGTCCTTAATTTATTACTGAAGAATCTAAGGATTAATGAATAAATATTGCATACATTTTATGTTACAGAATAAAAGCAATTTTGTGAGTTTAATCAATGGGAAATGGTACTGCTGGATAAATACTATCTATGCTTGAAGCACTGAGAGAATTTTTTAGCTATAAAATACATGCATACGTGGTCATTATAGGAAGATGTATGAATAAGCAAATGAATAAAAGCAGGACCACGGTGTCCATATTTTACATTTTGCAATATATTCAGAAATACCAACACACCACTTCTAAAGATACACAATGGGATATTTTAACTCTATTAATTGTTTCTGGGCACTATCTCTTACAATTTACAAAATAACACTGATATGAATATATATTGTAAATTTTGCCCACATTCTTTTTTTTCCCCCCGTAGCAAAGAAATTCCAAGAATTGGTATCACTGGGCGAAAAAGCATGAGTGTTCTTAATGTTACTACAAACAGACAGAAACCCTCATTAGCAGTCCTGACCTTGAACTTGTCCCTGGGTCCTTGTCCAATCTGGGAATCATCAGCATTGCTTCCCTTTTCTTTTGTTCGTACAGACTTTCACAGACGGCTTTGACTCCTTTATTGGAACCGTGCCCCAGTGGCCCCAGCGCCAGACTCTTCCTTCTCAACCCTCCTTCCCCCGCTCCCTGCTTCACAGTTGTCACACCTGCATCTGAAGGTTCTCCCTGTCTTCTCAGCACCTCTTGCGTTATTCTTCACAGACATTCTCCTAGCAAATCTCTTGAATGTCTAATTTTATCTTGGCATCTGCTTCTCACCAACTAACACAGGAACTTTGAAAATCTTTTCAGCATTTGCTACAGTGATTGGTTTATTTGGGTACTTTCCTTGTTGGTCATTTTGATAGTAATACTTCCCTAGACCATCTCTTCCATTCAATATTTTCTAATTTTTAGCCATAGTTATTTATGATACTATCTAATAGCTTTTTTTTACTTATTAGTATCTATGGTGATATATGGTGTATTGTGTTTTCTTCTCTTCCTTACTTGATTAACTTCACCACAGTTTTACACATGGTCAGGATCAAAGACTCAGTCACTGTACTGATCAGCGTTACTGCTTCAGTATTTTTATCAGGCATTAAAAATGGGGTAGGGAGCAATCAATTCACTCCAACACACCTTAACTCACTGCTGTACAGTGAGGCTCCGCAGGTTTTCTTTTCTGTTCCTTCTTTTAATTACAACGTCCTTTGATGAAAATGGAGCAGGTCAACCAACAAGGCTCCCCAGAAATGGTCCCCATCTCTGGGTAATGAACAGTGTGGGCCCTGGGGACTCAAGAACTGCCTTCACAAACCTGACGGGCTGTCGTGTGAAAGGGGGCCAACACGTTCTGAGTTACCAGGAGGGACAGAACCACCACAGCCAGTCTGTGGGACTGAGGGAGGCAGACCTCAGTCGAATAAAAGGAAGAAATTTCTGAAATGAAACAGAGTGGGCTGGCCTGGGAGGCGGGGGGTTCCGTGCTCAGGAGGGGCTCAGGCAGAGGACGAACCAGCCCTCCTTTGAGGTCTGTGACTTGAGGATGCAGAACGCTCCTGTGCTCAGGCAGAGACTCTAAGATGGTCCCCAATTACCTCCACCTCCCGGTGCTCACACCTGCATGTGGTCCCCTCCGTTGAGTATGGGTGGACCCTACGACTCACTGAGAACCATCTATATAGGGCAGAGGTGTGCAAACCTCTTCTGGGATCATTTCCCTGGGACTGTAAGCATGCACTCCCTCCCTGGCTGCTCCGATAAAGCAGGTCGCCCCATGGAGAGTCCACATGGCAAGAGGCTGCGGGCCACCTCCAGCTCACAACTGGCAAAAACCTGAGCGGTTCAGGCTGGCAGCCCACAGGGAAGTGAATCCGACCCACGACCACACAAGTGTGGAAGCAAATCCTTCCCAGTTGAGCCTCAGATGAGACCCCATGCCCAGCCGACACTCTGACTGCAGCCTGCGAGCCCCCGAGCAGAAGACTCAGCCAAGCCCAGACTCCGGGCCACAGAAACCAAGGGGACCGACGTGCTGTTTAAGCTGCTGCGTTTGTGGTGATGTTGCCACACAGCAAGAGGTGAGTGACACACCCTTTCAACCCTGCTCCAGTCACCACCACCAAGGTCACCCAGAGGCAGGCGGCTGTACAGGGCAAACCCATTCTCATGACCGCAGACACTAGCATTAATAACTGATGTCAGGCGGGGGGAACACGCTCTGAGCAGCTCAAAGCTCGCCGCCGCCTTCGGAGCAGCGCGCGTATTCTAACCGAGACGCGTAAACGGACACCACCCGGCTGATTCCCGAGGCCCCCGGGCGGGCTTCTGTATAATACAGGCGAGTCTGTTCTCTTAAGTCACTGGTCATGTATTTTGCTTTTCTTTCTTCTCCCAAAACACTCTCTAGGGAAGACACGAGTCTTACAGACACTACTGTCTTTAAGAAAAGCAGGCACGTATCTTGTCTACGAGAACCTACCATACCCAGGAATATCATCTCCTCTTCTCTCTCTCGCTTGGCTTTCTTAGATTGTTGGAAACCTCGCCAAACCTAAAAACAAATAAACGGTTACTTGTTTAATACGTAAAACATAAAGAAAACGCTGTCACACTGTTTCTCCTGCGTAAACCACACATTCCAAGTGATGGAATGACCATGGGGTCAAGGTTGTGCACGTGTATGTGCTGATGGAGTATGTTCCCTTCTGTGATCACAGGCAGAATTTTTAAAGAATGACTCGCAGAAATGGCCCGTACCACTGCCCACTGTCCAAGCACCCAACTGTGGACCCTGTCTTGGGCCCTTGTCCCAGAGCCCCCTTGCTGAACAAGGGGTCCGCTCACCCAGGGACAAGACAGGATCCACATTTGTCCAAGACCCTGGTAACAAGCCTGCCAATGCAGAGCCCACTCCTGACCCAGCAACACACCTGTCAGAATGGCTGTTATCAAAAAAGTCATTGCTATCAATGTATCAAAAAAGTCATCAGTAAAAAGTCTACAAATAATAAATGCTGGAGAGGGTGTGGAGAAAAGGGAACTCCCACACTGTTGGTGGGAATGTAATTTGGTGCAACCAGTATGGAGAACAGTATGGAGGTTCCTTAAAACACTAAAAATTAGAGCTGCTGCGTGATCCAGCAAGCCCCCTCCTTAGCACATACCTGAAGACAACTCTAATTCAAAAAGACGCCTGCACCCCAATGCTCACAGCAGCACTTTCTACAATAGCCAAGACATGGAAACAACCTAAATGTCCATCGACAGATGACTGGATAAAGAAATCGTGGTGTATTTATACAATGGAATCCTACTCAGATATAAAAAAGAATGAAATAATGCCATTTGCAGCAACATGGATGGACCTAAAGATTATCATACTAAGTGAAGTAAATCAGAGAAAAACAATATCATATGGTATCACTTATATATGGGCTCTTAAACAAAATGATACAAATGAACTTATTTACAAACCAAAATAGCCCACAGACATAGAAAACAAACTGTGGTTACCAAAGGGGTAAGGGGTGGGGAGGGAGGTATAAATTAGGAGTTTGGGTTTAGCAGATGCATACTACTATATACAGAATAAATAAATAACAAGGACCTGCTGTATAGCAAAGGGAACTATATTTAATATTTTGTAATAACCTATAATGGAAAAGAATCTGAAAAAGAATATATATACACATACACACACATACACACATGTGTATGTATAACTGAATCACTCTGCAGTACACCTGAAACTAACACAACATTATAAATCAACTATGCTTCCATAAAAATAAATAAATTTGAAAAAAAGAGAAAGAGATAATAAGTGTTAGTGAGGATGCAGAATAAAGAGACCCCCTCCTGTGCTATTGGTGGGAATGTAACTGGGTACAGACATTATGGAAAACAGTATGTCGGTCCCTCAAAAAACTAAAAGTAGAAATACAGTATGATCCAGAAATTCCACTCCTGGGTGTTTATATGAAGAAAACAGAAACACTAATTTGAAAAGATACACGCACCCCTGTGGTCATTGCAGTATTATCCACAGAAATAATCAGTGTCATGGAAACAACCAAAGCGTCTGTTGATGGTTGAACATATAAAGGAAATGCGGTCTGTACCTACAGTGGAATATTATTCAGCCACGAAAAGAAGGCAATCCTGCCATTATGACAACACAGATGATGGCTGGGGCAGTATGCTATGAGAAATAAGTCACAGAAAGACAAATACTTTGCGTTCTCACTTACATGTGGAATCTAAAAATACCAGATGAATAGAATCAGAGAGTAGCTTTGTGGATGCCAGAGGCTGGGGGCGGTGGTGAGGGAAATGGGTGAAAATGGGCAAAGGACACAAACTTCCAGTTGTAAGATGGACAAGGTCTGGGGACACAGTGTGCAGTGTGGTGGTGACAGTTAACAATACTGCATTTTAGACTTGAACACTGCTAAGAGAGCTGACTTTAAATGCTCTCACCATAGGAAAAAATGGTAATTACATAACGTGATGGATGTGTTCATCAACCTCGCTGTGGTAATCATTTTGAAATACATAAACATATATATATATATATCTCAAATCACGACGCTGTACATCTTAAAGTTGAACAATGTTATATGTCAGGTATATCTCAAGAAAGCTGGAGGGAAAAAAAGAAATAGCCTATAATTTTTGTTACTGAGATTCCCCTGCCTGCATTTCTTCAAGAGAAACGTCCAGACTGCAGGAGGTTGGGGCTAGGTCTAAGGGCGGCGCTTAATGGTTTTAAAAGAAAAATTTCCAGTGTACCGTGGAGAAGTGCAGCACCGTAACACCCAAGAAATCGTCCAGTTCAAGCTTTGAACTCGGATGCTCGTTTACAATTTTATATCCCCACAGAACTTGAAAGAAATCAGTCTTCTGTTTCTCCCCAGCCCCTGCCCCCATTCCCATGAAAACACAGTTAGGGATAAGAGCCCTCATATTCTGGCTCTATGTTATGTCCTTATAATTAACTTTCTCCCCAACCTGATTCTGTGTGACGTTACCACCTTCTGCATTTTCCCGTAAGCAGCATTAGCCACCATTTGAAAAACGATGGGGTGTAACTTGAGAGTGCTCATCTGACCATGGGGAGGAAGCCTCAAGGGCCACTTCTGAAAGGAACAGCCACGTTCTGGTTACTAGTGGTGGTCCCTGGAATTTGTGCAAATGGCACCTGCTTCTGCAAGCTAGCAGGTGATACCCCTGCTCCCCTTAGGTAATTTACATGCCTGTGTGTCAATGTATTTTTAAAAATCCAGTGAGGACTAATATAGCAACATTCTTTCCAACAGTTATCCACGATCTTTAAAAATACTTTAATACAATGCCCTGAGCTTCACACTTATCTATAATAAAATTTAAAAAATATAACCAAGCTGGCTTTAAGCTCTTACAGTTTCCCTGGGGTAAGATAAACAGTCCTCCTGGAATTCAGTCCACTTCTGCTGAAGGCAGGACCAGAGGACCAAGGAATTCTGGGTTTCGGAGCTCACCCCCGACCCTGGTCTGTATTTCCAGCTGTGTCAACACCCTGCCCCCCCAGCTCCGAGAGCACCCCATCTGCACCTTCTGGATGCGCAGCGCGGCGGCCCCCGTGTCTGCTATCTTCTCGCCAAGGATCTTGGCCTGCCTGGCTCTGTATTCCTGAAGGAAGATCTGCTTCATGAACATGGCTCTCAGGCGCCCTTGCCGGGCCCTCTCGGCCACCTGGATTACTTTAATAGCCTCTTCCAATGGGATGGCTCTTACGGGGTATTTCTGCAAAAAAACGTTTAAGATAAAAGCTTACACACGTTCATGAACATCAACTGATCCCAGAAGCATCACATGATTCCTTCTAAGACCAGCCTGCTGAACGTCTTCAAGCTGCTGATATAGAGAATGACAAGCATTCAGGACGAATCGTTTTTCCCATGAATGATGTACATTTCAACAATGCATCATGCTCACGCAGTGGCCCCCCCGGGTTTAAGGTTCCCTTAATCTTCCTCTACCATTCTGAACAAAACACTAATTAGCCCGATATTTTAGGTTAGCAGCAAATTATGCCAGGAACACCAATAAAATGGACTGAAATAAACTTGAAGTTGCCATCCAAGTTTCATTAACTAAATTGTAGAAGCATACAAATTAAAAACATATCTCTAATAGAATTTAAAATGTGAACTAAGGATAAAATGCTGACTTTAAAAGCAATGACAATCATTCCGAATGAGCCAGCAACACACAACTAGTAGTAAAGCCATTTCAGGAGTGTATGTAACACTGTGAAATGCCTTCCGCTACCTGCATGCTCGCACTTTAACATCTGACCGTGGTGGGTGCTATAAGACAGGAAACTCAGGCTCCTGCAGTAGAATGTCGCCTTTGCAGAAGCTCAGGATTAGGCAAAGCTGGGCGAGAGGCACTGCTTTTTTCTGAGAAGTGAGGGACAAGAGCGGGGCTGCTGGGGGCGCCTGGGGTCCTGCCTGAGCTTGAGTGGGCTCAGGCGTGAGGCCCTCTGCTGTTCCTGGAGCCGAGAAGAAGCTGTGTACCTGGCCTGGCATGGGCAGAGCCTCCTGCAATGGATATGTTGCGGAAAAATGTGTTACAGCCCAGTGTTACAGCTCAGTTGTGACAGTAACCTGGATCCAGGTGCGAGACCAAGCAGCACTGGGAGACTTGGAGAACTCAGGTTTATTACCCCTGAGGGCCCACACAAGTTAACACACCAAGCTGTAGACCCCGTCTGTAGGTTTACACAGGCCTTTATAGGCTGCCAGTTTTACGCTTTGCAACATCACACGGAAATAAAATATAGCAGAAGTTGACCAACTAGAAACAAGCTTTGTAGAAATAGACCAATCAGGAGTGAGAGAAATAACCAATCAGGAGTGAGCTCCATGCACATGAAGTACTACAAATGGACCAATCAGAAGTTAGGGAAGTGGACCAATCAGAAAGGAAAATAATAACCAATCAGGAGTGAAGGAAATAACCAATCAGAAGTGAGCTCAGGGAACCAATAGAATTTTAGGGGTAAGTAAGCTGTTTCAGAGGCAAAAAGTGAGATAGAGCCTCTGGGCCAGGGAACCAGATGGTGCTGGCACGAGAGTAGTGGCCCTGCTTGGGGGTCCTGCCGGTCTTTTTATGGGGCTTCCCGCCTCAGATAGAGGCAGAAGGGGGAGGCTGTTTGAGTCAGAAAATCACCCAATCATGGGCTGAGTCCTCCTCCAGCAAAGGGCCACTCAGCTTGAAGGCCAGCTTGAAGGTCAATCAGCATTTTTACACAGTGTCGTAATTTTTTAGTTCCTAGTTATCTCAGCACTTTGTTATTTTATATGAACAACATTCAGTTACTGACTTTAGGCTAAGTGATTAGAGATAAAAAATTAAACTGAGTTGATAATCTGCTCAATCTTAAGAGATCCTGATTTAACCAACAAAGTACTATGCTTTGATCTCTAAGTTCTCAGTTAAAAAAAAGGTTCTTTATCATCAAAAACACACCCAAGGCTAGGGGAAGGGATAGATTAGGAGTTTGGGAATTAACAGATACACATCACTACACATAAAATAGATAAACAATAAGGTCCTACTGTACAGCACAGGGAACTATATTCAGTTTCTTGTAATGAGTCATAATGGAAAATAAACTTAAAAAAATACAGATATGCATGTATATATATATGCATAGCTGAATCACTTTGCTGTACACCTGGAACTAATGTTGTAAATCAACCACACTTCAATAAAAATATGAATTAAAAACAACACAGCCCAAAGTTATGCAACTTCTCATACACTGAACAACAAGGGGGAAACGGAGCTGCTCTCCTCACACTGAGAATAATCCACTTGTCTCTCACACCATCAGGAGCAGCAGAAAAGGAGGTTTCACAGAGTGTGGAATAATGTTTATTAAAATGATATACCAACCTTGTCAGTTGCATCGAACCCAGTGTTGGCTAATATCTGAGCAAGGATTTTCTCTCTTTCTTTTATTACTTCCAGCTTTTCCTTCAAAAAATACTTGGGTATGGGGATATCCAATTGTTGCTGGAGAAGAAAAAGAATAAGCAAAAGAGCATTTTGGTCACAATTCCAGGACTCACATCCATGTAAAACAGAGACGTGTTTATCAAAGAGACTCGCTTTACTTTCCGTCCTCATCTAAGAGGTGATGAGGCTACTGGCGTGTAGAGGGTTTGTTCCCACTAAGGACACACAAATGAAGTCAAGAGGAAAAATAGTAACCATGTCCCGTTTTGATCATGACTGTAAAATTCCAGTAATTCGTATCAATTAGGCCACAATTAACTAATGATAGCTTAATGACTTTCTTTGAAGAAACAGAACATCATCTGAGCCTACCTAAAATAATAATGCATATCAGGACAGCGAAGACTTGCGCTATAGAGACACGGGAATTAAACCTAATAATTTTTCGTTAGTACCGTCAACTATTTGTCCATAAATGGTCACGATTTTAAAAATAATTTGGTGTAATTTCTACCTAAATTAGCCCATTACAAAAATTATTTACCAAATTAATCGGCTTTCCTGGAAAATTTAAGTTTTATACAATAAATATAAACTTCTGTTCTTCATTTGTGTGTATTACCAGATACTTCCAATTAGTGGAGGTCAAATGAATATTTACCAGTTCAGGTGGTCAGTCATCAGGAGGGCAGAAGTGTTATTCAAGGGTATGGGTGGGCCCCTGGCCACCGCACTGAAAAACTGTCCTGGATACTCCATGAGACACTCCCTGCTGTCTTCGGGTAGACCAGCTGACTGGGGGGAAGCTAAGGTTCTGGTCAGCTCCCCCTTTTCCCATTCTGGCGTGACTCCTCACACCTTCTTCCCAATCCAGGGAATTCTGAACAGGCCTTCCCTTCAGTCAGCATTCTAGCATAAACAGCTGTCTTTCTAAGCCTTGGTGGGGAAGGGGCAGTCATTTTTTTAACCAGAACTTTCGTAGGCTATTGGAATGTCTGGGATGAACCGAGAGTGAGGCTCTAGGGCCCAGTGGGCGAGTGTGGGACGTCAGAGGACAGTGATCACACTTTCATTTAATGTTGTGATTTTACTTACTAATAAGCATGTTCAAGGGTTGCACTTTTCTAAATTTTAAGAAAAAACGTTGTTGACATGGCTCCATCTGGTCTACATAGGACCATGAAACTACAGTTAGGATTTTGACTGTGAGGAAACAGAGCAGTTGAGAATGGAAGAAAGGGGAAGACAGGTGTCTGCTGCTTCAGGTTTGCTGTTAGATCTCCATCCATGATGTATTTCACGTCCGTCCACCAAGATACAGATACACTGGGGTTTCCATTCTCTATGGGGTGGAATAAAAGGAAATTTCTGGCGGTATAGAAACACTCTTGCTCCCCTACACATTTCTCTACGTTAGAGGGACCTAACAGGAAAGCCTCCCCAGGTGGTGGGCTACAGAAACAGGCTTCTGGCTAGTTTAGCCAAAGGGGACATTAATGGAAGGACTTGGGACTTCTTGGAACCAGGGGAGGAGCTCAGCTTGTGTCAGCAACAGAGATGCGTCCAGAGAAGGTGATGCCTTCAGGACTCAGCCATTTATTTCTGCTCTTCTTGGTAAGTCTGTTTTGCTCTGTCTCTTTCTCTGAAAAGCAGTTTTCTCCGTCTGAGCATCTGGTGAACAAAGGCTCCGACTACTTACAAGTTTTGGAGGCTGCAGTTCAGACTCTGAGACAGAAACTGGTCTCCCTCTCTCTGTCTTGGTTTTGGAATCTCTCAGGGGAAGACAGGCTGGTGCAGCCACCAAGGTGTCCATCCCTAAGCCAGTGAGCTATGGTCAGGGATGTGGGTCATCATCGTACTAATAGCTGGGAGCTGGCCCAACAGAAAACAGAGGAGCTGCAGGTGATGTGGGTGATACCACGGAGGCCCAGGTACAAAGGATGCTGGTTGATTCAGCTTCTGCCCTGAAATGCAGAACTGGGCAACACAGGTGTCCCCAGAGGCTGGTCCACTGGAGTCCGTGCTGGGGCTTGTGGATGCACCCCTTAACCACCTGGGCCTCTGTGTGGTCTCACGGCTCCATCACTGCCCTCCAGGGCCAGCAGAACACGCAGTTCACAGACCCCTACCACTGAGGGTTTCCTGGAGGCTGTCGCTCAGTCATCCCACTCTCAGTGCTCGTGGCCTTCAAGGAGATGGACCAGCCAAAGCAGAGGGGATGAAGCAGGATGAAAAGCAGGGGAAAAACTGAAGGGGCCCACCACATACATTCCATAAATGCTTATTCCTGAAAGTTAGAAATATTTACTGTTCTTGGAGTTGAATGAATACATTATATGACCTTATTAATTAAATTTAGTATCATGACTGAAGGACCATTTCAAGTTTGTCCTAAGTTGTTCCTGATATCCTGGGGGTGGGTGAAGTCCTTCTGACCTAAAACGTCTAGAGCTTCAACCCCTGCCCTGACACAGGAACACGGGAAACACGGACGCTTTGAAATGATCTTCCACATCTTCACTCATCTCATTTTTGTCTTCAGTCCATCCTGACTAAATGCAGTCATAATGGTAGGAACGTTTCTTCCGGAGAGAAACATCACCTTTATAGAAGCCTGAATATTTTCAAAAGGAAGAAATATTAAACCCCGTGTAGAACACTAAACACTTTGTCCTTTTAATTTCATTTTAGGGAAACGTTCCTTTCAAAAGGAACGGAATTCATATGACTCATGATGCTGAGGCAAGGTGTCCACCGGCCCTGCCGACCCAGCCAGCCAGGGCATCAGAAGAGATGCCGGCGTCAGGCAGGCAGCGGTCAGAAGGCAGTGTCAGGACAGCATGCTGACAGGGAGTGCAGGGCGGGCTCAGGGCGTCGGAGAGAAGGGAGGGAGCCCCTTCACCACACATCCCGAGTCACCAATGACCCAAAGCAAAGGAGGAGATGGCAGCCTCTTGAAAATAAAGGAACCAGCAACCAGCAGACTGCTCCTCCAGGAGATGATGGGAAACAAAGGCCAGAGAGATTTCCTTTGGGAACAGAAATCGGGGCCCTGCTCTTGGAAACTGGAATGGTCTGTGCCACAGGATATCTGTGAAAGGGTCGTCTTAGTCCGTTCCCACAGGCCTGGGCAGACACCACGGTGACAAGTAAGACCACAACGACCTCAGTGTCCAGCAGACCCCAGGACAGTGCAAAGATATGTTTGCACCAAAGACTGAGGGGACCCAGTCCTTGTCTGTGGCAGTGTGGTCTACCTCAAGGGTGATGCTTCAACTTTCAACACAACATACAACTAGTAACTTTGTCTAGAAAGTCCACAGAATGCTGGCTGCAGGCCTACATGCCTTATTTAAAACAGAAAGGAACGAATATGAAAAGAAAGCCTGAGTACTTACGGGAGCCAGCTTTAGGTCCTGTAAGAGATCATCAAAATAGTGAAACTCCGTTAATTCCAGCTCCACCATCTCGTTCTTCAGCTCCAGGATGCGCCCCATCACCCCGTCCAGGATTTTTCGGATCAGTATTCGCTTCTGCGGGTGGACGATCTGGTTATAGACATTCTCCAGGTTCCTAAAGATCTGCACGTATTTTATGTAGAAGGTGGCTAACATTTGGAAGATGAAAACCTGATTTTGATGTGGTTCCATCATCTTCTGAGATTCTTTATCAAGCAAAGAATTGAGGGCTTCTTGGGTCTGATGCCACATCTTATTATACATTCTGAGGGAAGACAGGATAGAGAACACAGGGAACAAAAATTACTCTGGAAGGCGTACATCTTGGGCATCTGGTATAACAAAGCATAACACACCATAAATGTGAGCTAAGAACACTGCGTGTGGCTGCAAGGTTCTTTAGACCGTTTATGCCCTGTTTTGCTGTGCATGTGATTTTTGGATACAATCACAGCTATTATTATCAAGTAAAAAACTTTTCATCTGGATGGTATAAAGTGATTCCTCACTAACCCTGTAAAGCCAGTGTTACTGTACCCATTTAAAAGATGAAGAAGCTGGTAACTGAATTGGTTAACTGATTTCCACACACACAGCGGGTGGAGTATGTATGAATTGGAACAACCACTTCGGAAAGTATCTTGTAACACGGGCATAACTATGAATGAACAATTATACCCTGGAGAGATGTTTGTAAATCTGCACCAGGAATGATCACGGTAACATTTCTTGATAAAAGCAAAGACTTGGAGATATCCGAAACGTCCATCAACAAGAGAATGGATAAATTGTAGTATATTCACCAATGGACTAATATATAGCAGTGAAAAATGAATGCCTTACAGCCAGAAGCAACAACTATGAACCTCAGAACCATAAGAAGCAAGGTGCAGACTGTGTCCTGCGAGGCCCAGCCCTATGGGCTGCATGCACCAGCTCCTCGCCCTTGAGTCAGAGCAAGGAGCCAGCAGGAAGCCGGGGAGTGGGGGAGAGTGAGCTGGAGGTCTGTCCTCACCTACTTCCTTCCTGGAAAGTCAATGAATGGTCCTCCTTCTAACAAATGCTTAGGGTGGTGATGGCCCTGCCACCCCCCGGATGCCACCCCATCCCTTGGTTTCCCTAGACTCAGCACCTTTGTCACCAGTCCCTTTGTTAGCTCTCCTGCGGAGCATGCCATCCTTTTCCTGCTGGGACCCTGACCAATACATTCGTGGCAGAGTCTTTATTTTCTTTCAAAAGCTGGGTGATTTTGGGCTCCCATTTTTCATCCACAACCCAGTTCTGAAAAGTGAACTGGAAGTTCACTGGGTCTGGGAAGGGGCTTATTAACCAGTAGGCTTAACCGGGGGTGAGGGGGTGGGTAGGATCCTGGCCGTTTCCTGGGATGAGGGCAGAATCCGCCTATGTCCATCTCTGTCCACCAGGTCTTCCCTGTGGTGCGCTGGCGAGGGCAGCTCCAGCCTCCTGCCTGAGAAGCAAGTGCATTGAACAGGCTGTGGGCTCTCACTTCTCTGCGGTCAGCCTGGCCCCTCATTCCCATGCCCACCTGTGCCCTGCATCCCAGTGCTGGCTGCCTGCAGGTGCCTCTTCCACCTGCCCAGGATGAGAACAGTGTAGCACCTGCTCCCTGGAGTGGAAAGGCCCCTTATGTGGATCTACAACCAGTCCCCCACCTCTGGAAGACCTCCCTGGGGTCCTGCCAGAACTGCAGACTTTTCATCGCTCCAGCTCTGCCGGCCTGCAGGCCACGGTCTCCGCCTCCTCTCCCCTCTCATCCGCGTCTCTTCCCTCCTCCCACGTTTTCCTGATGTCTTGCCTCAAAGGCTCACATGTTCTCCTGGCCCTCGTGTGTTTACAGCCTTTTCAGTCCCTTACTGTCGTCTGAGAGGCCATTCAGGAGGAAAAAGGGGTAAATATGCTGGTTAAATCCACCCTGTTTAACGGAGACCCCCTCAACCACCCTCCCCAGGTCGTTCCCAGGCATCCTCTCCTGCACCCCGCTCTGGTACCCCCTTTGCCCTTCCTCAAGCACGCTCCCCACATCCCTGGAAGTAAGTGTGACCATCGCGCCAGGCTGAAACCCTGACCACAGGCCACGTTCTGTGCGGCGCGGCATCCTCGCAACATCCCACGGGACGGGTCCCCTCGGTCCTCGGAGGAGGGGGGAGGCGGCTGCTCCTCAGGGGCGGGGACAGGGTCTGAACCCGGGTCTACGTGACTGAGCTGAAACCACGGCTCGATGCCCAGCCGCCACCTCCACCCCAGAATAAAGACACCCCGCCTCCCGCCACCACCAGATACACGGCGACGTAACGCGGGCCGACAGGGCGGGGGAGGAACGGGAGTTCAGGGTCCTTTCGCTCGACTGGCTAAGGTGCCCGAGCACCCTTCCGCGTGCCACCGGCCGTTTACAAGTTCTCTTCCTTAAACTGCTCATCCATTTGTTTCACCTGTTGTTTGTTTGTTTACGTTGGATTGTTTTCTACTGATTTGTGGGGCTTCTTTAAATATTCGGATACTTCTGAGAGCCACAGCGTGGCTTCCAGCGGAGAAGCTGCTTTCTCAGAGGCCCCTTCCCTCTGCCCCTGTCCCTGCTGGGAAGGACGGTCCTGCCCCCAGTTCACACAGGGGTCCAGCTCCAGGCCTCGGGGAGGGTCCGGTCCCGGCCCCACAGGGGCTGAAGTCCCAGAGCGCACCGCCCGCCCCCTAGCCGGGCGGGACCGGCTCCTGGTCTGCGCTGCTCAGCGCCCGGGTTTCCGCCCCGCTCCTGGTGCAGAGATTTTGAACTTGGATTTGAAAAAAAACCCCCCAAAAAACCAAGTTTTCACTTTTCAATTTTAAATATTTTAATTTCATTTTATAATTTAATATTATATTATTAAATATATATATCCTACCAGTATATTATAAATTACTCTAAATTTTAAAGAAAAATCTTTTTTAAATAAAATTTTTAGATAAAAAATGAAAATAATCCGTAAAAATATTTTTTCCTATCAATTTTAGGTGCTGGGAGCAGAGGTGGGAGATTTTCATCCTCTTGGCCAAAAGTTAAAAGCTCCTCTTGGTGTGAGAAGTCTTTTAGGTTCAGATGGTGGTGGTGGTGGTGATGGTGATGGTAACAGCTTATATTTACATGCTGTCCGTCACTGCTGTAAGTTGCTTTACGTATATTAATTCATACAATCCTCTATGCCTGATGAGGTAGGTGTTATTATTACTTCAGTTTGCAAATGAGGAAACTGAGGCACAGAAAAGTTAGTGCCCAAAGTTGTGTAATCCGAATGCAGGATGTGCACGCAGGCAGCCTAGCTCCAGAGGTCAGGCTCTGAGCCACTAAACTCTGTTGCCACCTGTTGGGCAGGGGGAGAGCAAATGAGGGGCGATAGATCACGGGGCAGAGGTGTGCTGGACGCCACAAGAAAACAAAGATTTATAGTTAAAAATAAGCTCTTCCTCCCTCACAGCGCCCCGCTGAGTCTGGATGCTGAATCCCACCCTCGGCACTCCATCCCTCGGGTTCTGGTACCAGCTTTCTCCAAACTTGGCAATATTACAAAAACATTGCTAGTGAATCGGCATTCTGCTAGACAGCTTTGTTATAACAGAGAAAAGTGGTTATCAGAAAGGTAGAACTCCACTTAGCATAGGACATCTCACTCCGTGCAAAATAAAAGAATGAAAAGAAGCTGAGCATGTTCTTAATTCACCAGAGCCTGGACTTGCAGCATCTGGAGGGGGCAGGGGACCCAGGTGCTCACTGACCTGCCAGGTGACGCAGGCCCCACACGGCAACAGGCTCAACAAATGTTCCCCTAAAACAGAAAACCCATTCGCTTTGTGGACTAAATAGGGTTCAGGGCCTAAACCTGTCAGGACAACCTTACAGAAGAAAATTACAGGCTAATTTTGTTTAGAACTCGGACCTGAAATTCCACTCAGCCAACAAAACACAGTGTCAGATCAAAAGAATTGTTCCCTCGGACCAAGGAGGGATCACCCGGGGAATTCACAAGAGTTCAAGGTGAAGGAAAGCTGAACTAAATACAGTACAGGACAGTAGAAACTGTGAATTATTGTCACAGGTGCCAAGAAGATGCTCGATACATTGAATTTACGGCATATGGCAGATTAAGGATACTGTCCACACACCCCAAAGGACAGAAGATGGCAACCTCTTCAAAATGCGCAAAACCAGAGGCCACAAACATTTTCAGTAGAGAAACACTAGAAACCTAAAAAAATACGAGTACAAAAAGGATGAAACAGATGGAAAAGGGATTAATACAGTTTAAAAAACTGCTTGTAAATGACACCAAGGCAAAATTCAAGGAAATCAGTAACAAAACATAGGAGAGCAATTAGACCGGCAAAGTTACAAGATACAGATGAAAGCCACAAAAACTGAATGCAGAGGCAAATACGAAAAACAGAACCTCATTCACAGTGCTGACAAAGAACAGGAAACATTCAAGAACAAATATGGTGGCAGCCACACAAACTGTAGCTGAAGACGAGTCTGGAATGTTGGCTGCAGAGGACTGGAACAGGCCAGAGACAGTATCTGCTCCTGCCTGAGAGACGAGACAAAAAGAAAGCAGACTCTTGAGACCGACATGCGGATTTAATATCACCGAGAATTTGGTAATAACATCCGGGAGGCTCTATAAATAAATCTAGTCATAATTTCTAAAAGTAGGGGTGGAGTTGATCATAAAAGATAAAGGGCATTTATCAGACTTCAAAGCATTTAACACGCCAGGAAGCATTAAGGTGTGTTACGCCACCCACGGAGACAGTCTCTGTGGGGTCCAGGGGGGTGACCTGTACCCCACAAAGACCCACACCCATCATTAGCCAGGGATCTTAGCTAGAGGAGGCTTCCACCAGGGGGAACAGGAGCCAAATTAATGGATGGAGCACACGGAGAATCTAGGAAGGCCCAGACTCGGCTCTGGGCAGACCCAGCCTGGGGAGCCCTGTCGCCCTGGCTTCAGTGCACTCATTGGCTTCTGCCCAGAGTCGGAGAGACAGGCGTCCCTCCGGGACCAGCGCCGAGCTGACTCCTAGCGGAGAGTCTGGCCAAAGACTGTCCTCGCGGCTTGATCCTTCCAAGTCCTGACATCTGGGCAGCGGCCTCTTTCCTCCTCACCTGCTGCCTGTCGGGTGACCCTTGCTGGAGAGACCAGGCAAGGCTGTCGGTTGATGGGGAAAGAGTAAGTAGCCGTGTGAGCATCACCACTCCTTCCCCTGCAGACTGACTCAGCGCTCCAGCTCCCCTGCGGGCCCGCACGTGTCTCCACTGGCTACAGCCTAACCTTCCCTGGACTACGGGGCTTGGCCACCGTGCCTCGGCCAGGCCAGCCTGCGGGAAGCCTCAGTCCAGCCTGAGCCCCACCCTGCCTCGAGGCCACAGCCTCAGAATCCTTGCTTTGAGCCAGTGCCCCTGGAGATGATCTGAGACAAGGAACGCCGGGGAGATGCTCTTTTCATAAGAGCATTATTGTGGGGAGGGTCTGGCTCAGCTGCACAAGGTCCTAGGTTCAATCCCCAGGACCTCCATTAAAATAAGTAAATAAACCCAATTACCTCCTCCTCAAAACAAAAACAGTAAGAGCATTATTGAGATATAATTCACATACCATAAATTCACCCTCTTAAAATGAATAATTTAATGGATTTTCCTTTTAGCCTATTTGCAGACTTGTGCAAACTTGATCTGATTTCGGAACATTTTCATCACTCCAAAGAGAAACCCTGTACCCGTTAGCAGTCATGATTCCCCTTTGTCCCAGCCCCTGGCAACCACTCATCTAATTTGCCTCTATTCATTTGCCTATTCTGGACGTTCTGAGTAAGAAGAATCATGTAACAGGTGGCCCTTTGTGACTGGCTCCTTTCACTTAGCATAATGTTTCCAAAAGCCAGGGCGCTGTGGCATCGGTCAGTACCTCATTTCTTTTTATTGCCTAATAATGTTCCACTTCATGTACACACGGCATTTTGTTTATCTGCTCATCAGCACATGGACAGGTGGGTTGTTTCTGCCTTTTGGCTCTTGTGAAGGATGCAGCTGTGAGCTTCCCTGTTCAAGTTTTTGTCTGGACATGTGTTTTTATTTCTCCTGGGTTTGGCGGAGTGGTTTTTAAAGGAATAAGTGCTCTAAGTTTAAAATCAGAACCTGTCTCCTGAGGTAGCCGGTCTCAGGCGGGTCACTTAACCTCCTGCCTCGGCCTCCTCAAGTGGCAGATCTGGATGATGACGCCCGCCCTAGACACCCCAAAGGGTTCCTGAGGAATGGGATAACAGATGTGAAAGTGCTCTTGAAATGGTAAATGTGCCTTGTAGAGAGAAGGTAGTAGTTTATCCGTGAGACCCCTTAGAACTGTTGTAAGTGCATGATTGGTTTCAGACTTCAGCATATGACCCAGAAACGTTACAGATACTGAAGTCAGGAGGACGGTGGGTGGAGAAGACGGACGACGACAGTTGAAAAAGACCAGACCGTCGTTTCTGCAGCTGGGCCGTTCTCCTGTACCTGGGGCGTGGCGAGGTGCGGTGGGGGCAGGAGTGGAGAGAAGGACTCGAATATTCAGATGTACCATGTACTTTGGTGGAAAATCTAAATCTTGCAAAATGGGATTTCTTTCCAAGCTATTTTATACATGAGAAACTTCCTAATTCTTCCAATACTACCTAGCTATTTGTCCTCTTTCTGGAATATTCCTTGGCATCTTGTTCTAAGGGAGGCCTAGACTCTCCCGTAAGGACACAGCTTCCCCTGCAGCCCTCTTGGGAGAGGCTCCTTTTGTCCCAGAGCCCCCTGACCACTGGCGTGGAGTGGGACCAGGTCCTTCTTCCTCCCTCCATTTCCGGACCATTCTCCCTCCTTCCCCCCGACACTCCCTAGTTTTGAACCTCATTTCGTCAAATGGTGTCACCCACAACATCACCATCATCTACTGTCTACATCATCCTTCCAGGCCCTACCAGGACATCTACCCACCAAATAGCATCTCTACCTACAGCCTCTCCCTTGCCCTCTCATCTTCCTGCAGTCAAGGACCCGAGCTCCTCTCTCTGAAGCTGGGACCTCGAGCCATCGGCTGGGGCTGAAGCCCTCACTAGCAAGGCCATCAGCCCTCTTCTCCCTCCTCCTCCCACATCATCGCGCTTCCTTTACACTGGGCCGTTCCCTTCAGCAAACAAACAGGCTATTGTTTCCTATCTTAAAAAAAAGTCTGTCTCCGGACCCCATTTCCCCTGCCACCAGCTACAGCAAAATGCCTTTAAAAAGTCAGCCATGCACTGTATACAATTTCTCTCCTCCACTCCCTCTAGTCAGTCTTGCTACTCCATCACTCCACTGAAGGTCAAGGTCGCTGTTGGCCTCCACACTGCTAAACGGATGGTCAGTTCTCAGCTCTCCCCTGGCTTGTCTCAGCAGCCGTAGACAGAGGTTGTTACTCCCTCCTCTGAGAAATTCTATTTTCCTTTTCCTCCTGGCTTTCAGGGCTCCACAATCTTGTTTCTTCCTCAGTGATCACACCTTGGATCCCTTTGCTGGTTTCTCCTCCTCAGTCTCTTGCCACTGGACGACCCGAGTCTTAGTTCTTGGACCTGTTCTCTCTTCTGTCTACACTCATCCCACGTCTCATAAAGACTGTGCCAACAGCTGTCAAATGCATCTTTCATACACAGACCTCTCATCTGAACTCAAGTCAACCGCCTGTTTATCTTCACTTGCTGTCCAATAGGCACTTCAAACGCAACACATCCAAAACTAAACTCCTGATCTCCCCGCCCCGCAAGACTCTCAGCCTCTCTTATTTCTTGGCCTGGGAAACAAGGTTAGTGATAGTCGGAGTGCAGGTTGAAGCTGCAGTGCCTGGATGGCATCGTGTCCTTGCTGTGTATGAACTACTTGGCCTCTTTGTGCCTAAAAGTCCTCACCTGTAAAGTGGAAATAATAATATTAACAGCTCCTATATTAGAGGCGTGTTGTGAAGGTGAAAAGAGTTGTCAAATTTTCAGCACTCAGAACGGTGCCCGCAGAGTCAGCACTACACCAGATGTTTGAGACGATCGTTATGAGTAACTGCTCTGTTAATGGTACAGTGTGGGCGAATATTCTTTGGTGTCCCTGCCGCCGGACTGGCGTTCCTCGGTGGAAAGGGAAGAGGAAAGAAAGCTTCCTCAAGACCTTTCTTAACCTAAATATTGGGACCTGGGTGTAAAGAACTGAGCACACCGAAGACCCTGCTTCCTCGACAATACATCAGCAATGGCTCCTGGGGCCACTGAGTGGTTCTGGAGGAGGTCGCCTCTATGGGGGGCGGGGATAGCGCAAGGGGAAGTTGGGAGACCTGAGTGTATGGCGCTCCTTGTCCACAGAGGCTGATACTCAATGCTGAGGTGTACCTTTAATTGCTGCAACGGCAAAAAGAAGGTGTGGGGGAGAAGGGGATAGGAAAAGAAGCGGAGCAAGACGTCTTTTTCTTTGGAGAAGCCCACCCCCTGGCTATGGCCTAGCAGCCCATTACTCACGTGTTCGACATGGCTGGCTCCTTTCCCTCTTTCCCTCGCCAGCCACGAAGCTCTTTTGTCAGAGGGAGGTCCTTCTGGAGGGAGGGTCTGGGGCTGGGGATCTCCTTTTACTTCGGGGAGGGAAAGGTGATAGCCACGGGGACCCTCGGGCACAGAGAGCGGGATTCCAGCGTTCTCCTGTCCACCGCGAGGCTCGGGAACCCTACGGAGCCCGACGCCAGGCGGAACCTAGCAACGGAGACGCTACGCTTGCGCAGTGCGGTCAGCTCCGGCCAGGCGCGCTCCCCGCCCCGCCCTACGCGCCCCGCGCCTGCGCCGCCCGCCTGCGCCGCTCGCCTGCTGTTTCCTTGGCAACCGCGCGGGTCGCCGGGCGCTGCTGGTGCCCGAGGTGGTTGTGCTGTGGGGGCCGCCGCCTCTCAGGAACCCGCCTCCGGGAGAACCCGCCCGGAGAGCATTCCCGGGCCGCCCCAGGTCCCCGCTACCCGGTGCTCGTGGTCCTCCACGTCGTCGTCCCGCTTGCCTGTTCGCCTGTTTTATCCACCTTCAGATATGCAGCCTTGGACAAGGACAAGGTCCTTAATGATGATTGCAGCCTCAGGCTTCCCATCTGTCTAGTGGGGCAACACTCATTTGTTCGTTCAAAACTTTGCTGGGTACCTAATTAGGGCCAAGCACAGACTTAGGTCCTGCGGGTGCAGGGCAGACGCAGACCCTGCCCTTCTGGAGTTTAATGAAAATGAAATAAGGCGACAGGGCGTCGTAAAGGTAGAATGCTGCGTTGATGTTAGTTATTAGCAAGCCGCAATGAGTGCTTGCTTTCGTGGTTCTTTTCCCGCCATCTTTAGTAACTGCTGAGATTTATTTGCAGACTTTATAATACGCCATTCCTTCTGGAGCACATTCAGAACGAATGCAGTTGAAAGCGCAGGTAGAGGACAAACATATAAAAATGACAGAGTAAATCTGGAACACAGAAACTTTCACACACAATTACTAAGGAAATGAACAAAGAATAGTAATTATAATAAAAAAAAGCAAAGGAAAAAAAGAGCAACCAAGCAAAAAATTAAGTACAACTTTGTGCCATAAACTTCAAACGCTGTGCTCAGTGAAACAGAAGTCTGAAGTGGAGAACGGCTCCTCCTCTCATCCCCACCTCCCAAAAAACCCAGTAGGCAACATACCAAGAGTTCTCACTAATCCTTTTTGATACAAAGAAGACAGGAATCTGAGAAGTGGGATGAAAGGTGAGGAAGTGAGCCACCTGGGGGAATCTCGGTGGGATTCAGCCACCACCAGCGGAAACAACCCCCCCCCCCGGCCCGACCAGAGCTAGAAAAAATTACTACGATTTGCCATTTTAAAGGACTTTACAATAAATTGAGGCAAAGATTCAAAGTCGAAGGACATTTTGTCACAGGAATGGGACATACTTCCAACAAGGGTGGAAAATGGTGGTGAAAGAGCTCACCAAAATCTCACACGAGAAGGCAGCGCCCAGACCTTGCAAAGACCCAGGGGATCAGTCCTCACCCTTTACCCTCCCTGGGTGTGAGTCTGTAGAAAAGTGAATAAAAATGCCATCTCCAGCTCTTGAACTCAGCGAGAAAGCAGCCAAGGAGAATTTGCTCATATTATATTTGAGCAACTGGAAGATTTGCAAAGAGCAATCCTGATTCATTAGAAACAAGACAGAGAGAAGAGGCATGTCTGCTCTCCAAATCCAAGACTTCAGTAAAAGGGGAGGAGAAAAAAAGAAAAAAAGTCTACGGCATGAATGAATAGGTGAAGAACATAGTCTGGAATAAAAGCAACCAAACAGAAGAAAATTCTTTACATGTGGTCCAAATGATAGAATAAGTTAATAAGAACATCAGTTTAATAGATTAAGAGCTGGGAGAGAATATAAACAACATAATGAGAAGGGAAAGAAGATAATATAACCAAGGCAACAGATGGAAATCAGGAGCGGTCCATTATAGAAACTAAATTAGCAAAACTAAGAAATAGACTGGGCACAATTCATCTAAGTGACTGACTTAGGGGAAAAGCTTAAATCAACTGCAGTGACTGTAGAGGAAAAAGACAGAGACATTTTAAGTAATTAAAAAGGGTTTAGTTGATATTCCTGAAAATGAGATCTCCAATTAATTTGTTTTAAAGATACAAAGAAACATTTCTGAAATAAAGAAGGATATCTGCAGATCAAAATTTCTCACTGTGTTCCAGGAAGAATGGATATAGAAGGACCAACACTTTAGATATCCTGAGTACATTACTGAACTTCAAGGAAGAGTGGTCCCGGGAATCTGGCTGGCCTCGTGTTTCTCCACGGCAGCTTTCAATGTCAGATGAAAAAGTAGCAGTGTTTACAAACTTCTTGGGGGAAAATGTGAAACAAGATATTTCTACTCATTGCAGTTAGTATTCCAAAATATGAAAGCTCTCAGGAAATATAGCAGTCATGTGTCAACTGGCATGTTTTCCAATGCAGGTAATAGAAAACCAGATGTCTAATGGCTTAAACAGTTTGATTATAATTAAACAATTATGATCTCCCTTAACAACACGAGTCGAGGTGAGGCCATTGTGGAGCTGATCATTTCAGTGGCTCAGGGACATCTCCGATCTTTGATGGTCTTTCCATCTTTTCGAGCTTTCATCCTTAGGATGTGGGATGACTGCCCTCTGTAGTGGCTCTAGACATTACAGTCTCACCCTGCAACATCTTGAGCCAGAAAGAGGACCCAGCTGAGAAATGTGACCGCCATCATTGTCTTAGGGTCATCTGCATTTACCTGCATGGGGGGGGGACATAAAACCGAATCAGGCAGTATGGACTGTTGTGTAGACAATATTCAACACGAACCAGAGCCCATGAGCTCTTCTCGAAAATAAAACCGTTGATGCTGAAATCCAGTGACGGAAAAATACAAGTCTTCTTACCAGGAAGGGCAAGTATTCACTATAAGACAGTGAATCAAGGTCTCCCAAACTCTGCAGAGCAGAACGAAACTGTTTTCTGACACCATCGCCGGAGACGTGTCAGTTGTTACACTTACTGACCACTTATTCTCTGCCAGGGGCCGTTTAGGACCTGATATGCATTCATTCATTAACTCTTCCCACTAACGTTATGAGCTGAGGGGTATTTTCATCCTCATTTCACACACCTGGAGACTGAGACTCAGCAAGGTTAAGAAACTCTGTATCCAAGACCATCCTCCAGTCGATGGTGGAGTCGGTATCCGAACCACCTGACAGCCTTGCTTTAAAGACTACGCTCCTAACTGCTGTCTCTGTTGGCAGCACCTCTCCTAATCTGGTTTCCTATGAGACAAATGTTACTAAAGACAGTATTTCCCAAACCACTTTTCTTTTAAGAAAAAAATCATTGCCACCTAATTATGGGGGTATGGTGGAAAGGTTGCTTTGTCCTCAGTATTTGATAATTTACGCAGCTTCATAATCAGACTGCCAGGTCCCTGGGAAAATTCATCTTCTCGGTCCACTGGGTATATCTGAAGTCACTGTGGTCAAATATTTATTGATGCCCATTCTATGCAAATCACAATAGTCCCCATTGTGCAACAGGAAGAGATGATGCTGATACGAACGGACTCTGCCTTCAAGGAAGAGAGCGGGGCGCCACCCAGGAGGATGAGGAACTCAGGCTCCATTATCCCAGGGACAATCCTGGAGGAATGACAGGCCCAGAAGAGCCATCAGAGGCTGTCTGACTTGCTTCTGTCTCAGAAGCTTCAAGCGCCCAGGACACCCCTGCCTCCCGAGCATCTCTGCTTGCCTGCGCGCTGGCAGTGAGGGGGACCGCCTGGCCCCTGGAGCCAAGTCCACCTGGCTTTGGACACCTCTCACTATTATTCTCTGCTTTTGCATCAAAGCTCCAGGGTAAAACAGATCAACTCTCTTCTAAGGGAGCAGCCTTTTAAATGTTAAAACCCATGTGTCCCCTCCCCCGACATCTTCTTAATTACAGGGTAAGCGCGATCAAGTTCCTCAACAAGATTTCAAGCTCCCTTGCAGTCAGGCTCTCTGTGTCTCTGTTCACTCAGTCAGTGTCCTTCAGACCCTGACCCAGTGAAGCAGAGCCTTCCGGGCGGGGGCTGGCAGGCACCTCAGCAGGGAGCCATCGGGGCCCTACCTTGGGTCCCCGCCCCTTACACCTACTGCAGGGCGGCCACGCGGCACTGCTGATGCGGGTGGCGGTCACCGCCAGCCAGACCTCTAAGTGGTCCCACAGCCCTCCTGCTGAGCCCCTTCTGTCATTCCGCGTGCTCATCCTGTCCAGTGCCACGTCATCCCTCAAATGTGATCTGTGCCACTGACGAGAATGTTCTCTGCGAGAAGGACAGGGAGCCTGACGGCACAGCCCTCGAACTGTGTCCAAGTGAGCATCAGTCGACAAGTTATCCGCCTGCCCAGCCACCCTGTCACCTGGCTCTCACTCCTCTTTGTCCTCAACACGTCCGTGGGATACAGATGCTGCCAGGCCTGTCACTAACATACAGCTCTGTTGTATCTACAGCATTGTCCTGATCGAGTTACTAGGCTGGTCACTCTGGAAACTGAAAATCGGGGTTGTCTGGCATGCCTTGTTTTTAAGAGAACCCACTTGCCTCTGCTTCCTTTTGTAAGAGCTCGCAGATCCTTCTGACGATCTGTTCTGGATCCACAGGACGTTCACTAGACCAGAACCTGACCTTTCCTTTTCTGAGTCACCAGTCACTCAGAACCTCTCCACTGGGCGTCTGCTGGGATGCTTTCCAGTGCGCCGTGGTGATTCGGCCGCCCCGGGTACCTGCGTCCTCACCTGCACTGGAGTCTCCCGGAAGCCCTGCACCAGAGTTAAAACACCCCAAAGCAGCTCATCTGTCCAAACCTCAGCCTAGGACAACTCAAGCTGCAACCAGGAGCAGGGCCTTTTCATACCAGGCGCGTGCCAGCCGCCAGCCAATCAGAGTGGGGCACTGCTTCCCGCTTCCCAGGGCCACCTTCTCACTCAAGGACCAGCCTCCACGCCCGCCTCCTTCCCCAGCACCCCGCTTCTGTTCTCCCCCGTAACAGCAAGACTGAAGCGTGACAAGCTGGGAAGACTGTCTACCCGGAAAGCAGCTGGGCCAAGCACCCTGTCCAGGCAAGGCTCCCAGCCGGGCAGCACTGCCGGGGTGGGGGGGGACTGGCCAGAGGCCGCCACATCGCCCTGGGAGTTGGTTCCCTGAAGGACCCAGAGCAGTGCTGGGTCTGCAGGGAGGCCCAGGGCTCTGCCCGCCCTCCCTGACCTCTCTCCGTCCTGCCGAATCCACCCCAGCCTCCCTTCCTGCCGTGCCTTCGGCGTCTTAGGTTCCTTCTCTCCCGGCAGGAAAATACCAAGTTCGTTTTGTTTGGTGGCCGTCCTCTATGCTTTGCTGGACATCTGAGGCCCAAATCATTTTTCTGACTCACCTTTCTGTAATTTCCCGTATCGAT